ATGGCCCCCCCCCCCCCCCCCAACAAAGTTCAAAGTTTGGATGCTGGTTTGAAAAGCCTTATCTGAAAGTTCTGAATAAAAAGTTTCAAAAGCCTTGAAGTTTGAAGGTTTATATCATACATCTGAGAGATCTAAGAGTTTTATTCTGCAGCTACTTAAACATCATACATATTTTTCATTGTTTAGGTTAAGCATCTTAACAAAATGTCTTGAAGTAAGGTCTAAACAGAAATTAATCGTAAGTTGTAGGTGACAGGAGATTAATTACTGAATAATCAAATGTATGAAATATATTCATAAGGCTTCAGAGTCTGCTTTTCTAATCATTTGTTAACAGGAAATCATGTATTTCAGCATTCAGTTTTAATGTATATAAATGCTAAAAAATGCTGTAAAGTTGCTTTGCAATGATTTGTATCGTGAAAAGCGCTATACAAATAAACTTGAATTGAATTGAATTGAATATTAAAGCATTATGTATACTCTTCATATGTGCTTCTGGAACATCTGTCATCATATTTTGAATATTATCTTTGAGTAGAACTTGTCTACATTGCAATTTTAGGTATTCCATCGACCAAAATGGAGAAGGTGATGCACTTTTCACCATCGATGTTGACAGTGGACTCATTACAACCACCAAGAGTCTAGACCGAGAGGAGGTAGCCTGGCACAACATCACAGTGATGGCTTCAGAGACTGGTATGTACGACTCTGAGGCCTGAATTCTGTCTGTATTCATTGATATATATATATATATATATACTGAGCAAAATTATAAACGCGACACTTTTGTTTTTGCCCCAATTTTTCATGAGCTGAACTCAAAGATCTAAGACTTTTTCTATGTACACAAAAGCCCTATTTCTCTCAAATATTGTTCATAAATCTGTCTAAATCTGTGATACTTTCCGTACCCACTGTATATATATATATTATTATTTTTATTTTTTTATGATGGTTTCTGAGGAAAACACAGGGAACCATTTTACCAATGATATCTTTATATTGAATCAAGCATTCTTCTTGAACCATGGACTAGGAACACCTTTTCCAGAAGAAATAATTGGCCCTGAAGTCTAAATCATCGATACTGATCAAAACAAATGTCTCCTTGAAGAAGGAGTGTTACATTGTTGGATTGATGCTGAGGCTGCTGTTGGCATGCTGATGTGGCTTTGAAGGTGGACCGGGTCAATACATTTTTCTTCTCTTTTTCCTATTTGTTATTTTTTTTCTCTTTTTTTTTTTTTTTTTTCACTGTAAACGCTTGCTGATAGTAGGCTGATAATGTTAGGTCACTGTAGTTAATCTCAGTTCCATCATACCGAACGTCGTCCCTCGCACATGACTCCAAAATGGGTGTAATGTTTCCCACACTGATTTTAAATTCCCATCATGCTTCACTGAATCCCATGAGAGCAGCATGAATCATATATATCTCACTGTAAGGTTATAAACATGGTAAATGTAAAAAAAAAAAAAAAAAGATATTATTTTTCAGATTTTTTCCCTTTAGTGTATAGGACAGCAAAGGAACAGGTCGCCCATATGTCACAGTTATTTTATAGCCTTCAGGGAACGAGGGTTACCATACATAACCGAGACGTTTTTTGTTTTGTTTGTTGCTCTGGTGTGAAAGTGCCCCAGAGAGAGAAACCCTTGGCCCAACATGGATGGTACAGCGCAGACAGGTGAAGAGCTTCAATAATTGGTCCAGACTCTGCATGAGGAGATTCCCGCTTGCAGCTGATGTGCTAGTAGGAGCCAATTAGGTTAACAAGCTGACAAAACATCATGAGTCTGAGCAATGCTTCAAACTAGCGATCTGTTCAATGACTGTGATCCAGACACCCAACTGGCCAAGGGGCTTAGGGTCAGCAGTCTGAAGTTAATGTCTTTCAAAAGTGGAGAGGAAGAAGAAGCCCAGGTGGTCCAATTACATTTCTGGGTTATAGGGAGTGACAAAACCCATCTCTCAGAGAAGCGAACGCATCTGTTTTAGATATTTTTAATGCCATTTTTCATTCAACCTTAATTCTGGAGAAAGAAAGCACTAAGCATCAGCTTGTTTTCTCTTGTTCTGGGTGTAGGTCATTCAGACCATCAGGGCCACAGACAAGGACAACTTCGCCAATGGTCGGTTTACTTTCGCTCTACCAGAAGACCTTCCAGCGAATCCAAACTTCACTCTGAAGGACAATGAAGGTAAAAACAAACAAACACAATAACAAAACCACACTTCCGCAGGATTTGTTTTGGCTTGGTAAAACATCTAATTAGAAATAGTTTGACATGTTAAGCCTGTATTTTAGGAGTTAGTTACAAAATCAAATTCCATATTCAGTACTCAAGTTGTACACAGGCTCTCATGAAAGTCAAATATGATCTGACTGATCTAAAGGGGCTCTCCGATGGCATCTCAGTAATGGAATCTTTCTAATGTTTTCCAACTGATTTCCTGATGTTTGCTCAGGGCAAACCCTCAGCACCTCTCCACAAACATATTTAGTACCACATGTTGTCACACACATCACCCTCATTTCCAGCCTTCCCCTCCTCTTCTTGCTCTTTTTTTTTAAATATCATTGCAAGGCCAACCGAGCTGTTTCCTCGGAAACCAGGTCTGTGTTTATGTTAGCTCAATGTTCCCTGGTGGAGACGGCTGGGCTGTAATGATTTCCTTCTAATGCCGGACCGCTGCTTCATGGCTGCAAATCGCTGTGAATCATGGCTGCAGGTGGACCAGTCGGAGTTTAACAGGGCAATCAGGGAGATAAGAGGCAGATGCTAAAAGCCCAGAGTTCAGAAGAGCCAATGCTTCAGAGCTTTATTTGAGCTTGTATCCTAGCCAAGGTCCCCTCAGACTGCCTCATCCTTAAATAATATCCCAACGGATGGACCATTACGGACCATTTTACACATTGGGGGTTGGAGCGCTCTGTTGCACTTGCTGTGATTGGGTGGGTGTTTAGGGCTGTCATCCTTGATCACGTAGATGTTTCTCTCCTGGCGCCGCAATCATTATGCCAGCGTCCACACGACCTGAGCGCTTGACAGGTTGAGGCGGAAAAAATATGATGGACATTCCCTACGGAGGTGCACTTATTTCCCCCCTGGGAAATGGCAGTGAGTTCAATTGAATAATAATCATCTTGACTGTTATGTCCGTCGACGTAGTTCATATTCTAAATCTAGGAAAGTGTTTGTAATGAAGCTCTCCAATGAATGGGTGAGGGAATGCATGGTATGCCCCATCCGCAAAGATAGCCTACGTCAAATTTGATGCCTTGCCACAGTTTGGGCAAGAGTGTTTCTGTTTGTGTCATCTGAGATGTGGGGCGCATTACATCGAGAGGGTCCCTCCTGGGCCAATTCACCGCAATTCTCTCTCAGGCCATTTATCTCCCACCATTTAAACACTCACATTAAGTTATAACAGCTAGAGCGATCAGGACTCATGCCAGAACTGCAGTATTGGCAGTATTTGTTGTTGTTGTTGCTATTTCCTATTTATTTATTTATTTATATATTTGTATATTTATTGCACGACACATCTCACAGTGAAGATTAATTATCTACAGTACATGCATGGTTCGCTCTCATGTTATTTCACAGGGAAAGTGTTTACGAATCACTGCTACTTAAATCAAAGCGCAACTGTGAATTTCCCATCCATGTGTAATTACAGACCAAGTTTTCTGCGTTGTTTGTGAAGATTCGCTAATGATCATTCCACCCTCTGTCGTTTTATGTTGACGCTTTTTAATAGTGTTTGGACAGAGTAAATGGAGTCTACCTGCAGGCCATTTTATAAAACCCCCACAGCATGAAATCAAACACAAACGTGCTAAACCTAAGGGTCAATACATGAAGGGCTAATTTATGTGTAAATATTTCAGAGATGCTAATTTGGCTAGTGTTAACCTTAACCCTGAATTAGGAAATTATCCTTCCTGTAGTTTCTAATGCATGCACAATAGTTGCTGGTTCTCCATACATTAGACCCCTGGAGAGAAAGAGCCCTGCCTCATTTGCACTGCTGTAGACTTGGGTATATGGACATTACGGGCCCAGAGACGAGTGAATAATATCAAATATTTCTAGCATTCACAGTTAAGGAATATAGTATACATTTATGTCTTTTCATTCATAAAATGAAAGTATATTATTTCCCTTTATAAATGAAAGCATCAGTTACAGTACTTGTCATTAGTTACTTTTCTTTCTCCCTAGCAGTTAAATAACTGTTTAGTCCTTCATTTTTGTATTCAGTCTGTATATAACTTTACTAACTATATAACTTAGTTATTTTTTATTTTAAATTCGACATGCATGGTTTTTCAGTACCATATAGTAATAATGTTTATCAGCCAATATTAGAGGTGATTTTTTTTATTTATCCATATCAGTTGTATAGTATTGTATACTAATTATGCGCATGCATATAATAATAATAATAATAATAAATGCTCATTTGCTCTATTTTTACATTTACATTACCTTTGTCATCTTCTAACACTAATATAAAGTTAATCTTTTAAAACACTAATATTTTATTTTAACACTGTTAAATATCTTTAACAGTCTTTAACAAATCTCAAAATGAATTGTAACGAATCATCCACTGAAGGCGAGCATAGTGAAGAACCCAAGTGCAGTTTATTTACAGTGATCCAAACATCCAAACATAATCCAAACAGACGAAGACTAGAAACAATAATCCGTGACTTGACTTGACATGAACAGACTTGACTTGACTAGGCATGAACAGACTTGACGAGGTATGAACAGACTTGATTTGGCATGAACAGACTAGACTCACCGACAGCGGGTTACAACTTCAATACATGACGAGAGACAATAGCAACATGGTGGCTACTTATAGCAAACGAGGGTCACAAGACAAGAACCAACCAATGAGAGACAGGACACATGACTAAGACAACCAATGAGAACATGACACATGAACCAAGGAACCAATCAGAACATAACACACAGTCAAGGGAATCACATGACTAAAGAGGGACCATGACTCAACTCCAAAATAAAAGACATGAAAACAAGAACATGAAACAAAACCCAAAACAGACATTGCATATCCCCCCCTCTAAGGGGGGCACCTGACGCCCAAGTGAAACACCCACTCTAAAACATAAACAAAACCCAAAGAGTCCAGGGGGGTGGTAGAGCAGAAGCAGAACAGGGGGAGGGATGGAGGGCCATGCCCAGGCCCGTGAAGGGGAACAGGACCTGGATCATGGGACAATGGTAGAACTAGGCTGTGGAGCAGTGGCAGGCCTGGGGCATGGAGCAAAGGTGGGCCTGGGCCATGGAGAAGAGGCGGGCCTGGACCATGGAGCCTTGGAGCACTTGGAGCACCTGGACCGTGGAGCAGAGGCAGACAATGGAGCAGAGGGGGACCTGGGCCGTGGAGCAGTGGCAGACTGTGGAACCATGGAGGACCTGGACTGTGAAGCAGTGGCTGACTGTGGAGCGGTGTGGGACCTGGGCCATGGAACAGAGGCAGAGCAGGCAGCCATGGTGGAGCAGAGACATGGACAGACCACTTGACCATGATAGAACAGGCAGAGAGTTCTTGAGCAGCCACTATAGCCACAACAGAGCAGACAGAGTTCATGAACGGCCTCCTTGGCCGTGACAGGGCAAACAGTGAGTTCATGAAAGACCTCTATGGCCATGACAGGACAGGCAGAGAGTTCATGTACGGCCTCATAGGTGGGCGCCACCGCCTTGGGAGGTTCTGCAGTGGAAGCCGCCACCTCTGGAGGTTCTGCAGCGGACGCCGCCACCTCAGGAGTTTCTGCAGCAGAAGCCCCCACCTCTAGAGGTTCTGCAGTGGACCCCGCCACCTCTGGAGGTTCTGTAGCGGACGCCGCCGCCTCTGGAGGCACTGGAGCGGATTTGTGGAAATGAGAGGCCTCTGGGGCAGACTCGTGGACAGGAGAGGCCTCAGGAGCAGATTTATGGACAGGAGTGGCCTCTGAAGCACAGTGTGCAGCCCACACGCTCAAAATGGCGATCGCCATTACAGGCAGCACAGAAGACAGAGGGTGGCCCATCGGGCTTGAGAGTGTTGCAACCACTGGGATGCCAGCCACTCGCACTGACATCAGTGGTAGGTCCATCACACTGGCAATAAGTCTTGTTAGTCCTGGCCCAAGCTCCGCGTCCGCAGGAGCTTAGGTACTATGCCCCACCCCCCAAAAAAAATCCTTAGGGGAAACTTGCTTGGCAGTCGTGGCGTGATGAGGCTCTGAAATGCCTCTGAAAGGCCATGTCATGACGAGACTCTGGAAGATCTGCTGAGATGTGGCGAGACTCTGGAAGATCAGCTGAGATGTGACGAGACTCTGGAAGATCAGCTGAGACGTGACGAGACTCTGGAACGGCGGCCATTTTGCAAAGAGACTCTGGGTTGGTGGCCATTTTGCAAAGAGACTCTTGAGTGGCAGGCATAGCGTGAGCAGGCTTTAGCTTGGCAGGCATGACGTGAGCAGGCTTTGGCTTGGCAGGCATGATGTGAGCAGGCTTTGGCTTGGCAGGCATGGTGTGAGCAGACTCAGGAGTAGTAGGCATG